TTACACTTTTTTTTTATAGTTATTACATTTGTATTTTATGAACATTAACAATCCGATATTGAAACGTATTTATTTTATTATTATTAAACTATACTAAACTATAATTTACTATACTTATGTATACTATTTTAAATTATATATAGTACAATACCAACTAATATATGTTACATTTTTATGATATATTAAATCATTATAAACCTTTTTTAATATAATGATAAAGAGTCTTTAAGGAGTAAATAACAAATGTGTAGTTTACGTAAAATTTACAAAATTATAAAATTATCAAATATTTTCATAATATAATCATTGAGTGATGTACAATTAATACAAAATAAATTAAAAAACCAGTACTAACTTTATCAATACAAGGAAAAAAAAATCTAAAACGTAAATCAAATATATTTTAAAACAAATAAAAACAATGATAATTAGGTATTAGGGAACATATGTACATGTTTTATTTTCTATTGATCTTAAACAAACCTACGTTCAATTTAAACCACTTAGAATCAAATATACGTAGTATGTCTTACATTATTTTTTTTTTCTGTTATTTCAATGCTCTAAAAAACCTTTTCGGCAACTTTATTTACTTTTATGTAACATTTTTTTCATAATGTTTTCTATATAATCTTATTTGAATGTTTAATTTTTATACTTATATTATAATATAAAATATATATAATATTTAGTAGAGTCCCGCTAATCCGGACTAGATGGGACCGGACTCTCTCCGGATTATCGAAAATCCGGATTAAACGAAATGACGTTTTTTTTTAACTTACTCATTAATAAACACAATAAATAATAACACAATAAATATACTGTCAAAAAACAACTTATGTATTTATACGAATTCAAAATTTATTGATTTACAATTTTACATTAGGTAACATTATTATTTTTATTATGTACATATGTATTAAGACTTGAAAAACTCCGTGATATTTTTTTGTTTTAATGAAGATTGACGTAATTTCGCTGTGCGATGTCTTAGACGCCTTAAGGTCAGTAGCTCAGCAGAAGATGTTTCACTTTGTTTCTCGAAGTAAGTCATCAACTGCTCCAGCATTGCAGTTGCTTCACCATGTGTTGGGCCCGTTGATTGATCTGTACCATCATCTTCATCTTCTGAACTGTCAACTTCTATTTCTATGTTTTCAATACATGCATTTACAATTTCATCATCACTAAGAACCTGATGACCAACATCAGTGTCACCGTTTATCCATTCAGAAATATAATTTGCTTCCACCTCGGCACAACCTTCCAACTCTTGAAAAACTTGAATGAAATCAGTGTCTTCATTTGAAGTTGTTTCATCTCGTCTATAGTTTTCTTGAGGAATATTAGGCCACAATTTTTTCCAACTTTTTTGAAGTGTTTCTGGCTTAACTCCTTCCCACGCTTCTGCGGCTAAATAAAGAACAGTTTTTATTGTTACTTTTTTTAAAAGATCCATAAAGTTAACTAACGGGTTCGCTTCTTGTTGCTCTAAAAGAAACATGATCAACTTTTTTCTGTAAAGCCGTTTTGTCGTTTCAATAACACCTTGATCCATTGGTTGTATCAATGACGTCACGTTAGGTGGCAAAAATTTCACATAAATTTCACCATCTCGTAATTCACTTTCACTAGGGTGACACGGAGCATTATCTATAAACAATACAGCTTTTTCTGGAAGTTTTTTCTGTTTGAAAAATGTCTTTGTTGTAGGCACAAATGTTTCGAAAAACCAATTTTTAAAAATGTTTCCGTTCATCCAAGCAGATTTTTGTGAAGTGTATTGAGCTGGAAGTGCACTCATATTAACGTTTTTGAAAGCTCTAGGCTTAACTGATTTTCCGATCACCAAAAGTGGAAATTTTAAATCACCAGAAGCGTTACTGCAAGGAAGTAAAGTTACTCGTTCTTTTTTCACTTTATATCCTTTGGCTACAGAATCTAGTTTTGAGGCTAATGTTTTTTTTGGAAGCATTTTGTAATTCAACCCAGTTTCGTCAGCATTAAAAATTTGGCAAGGCATTAAGTCTTCATCGCTAATAAACTTTTCAAATTTCGTTTTAAAGTCTTCACTTGCAACCTTGTCATCTGATAAAATTTCACCACTTACACCATGTTCACAAATGCCATGTCGATTTTTCCACCGAGACAACCATCCTACACTAGCAGCTAAAGTAGGATCTCCTTTTAATTTTTCATTAAATTTTATCGCGATAGCTTGTAATGTAACACCCGACAACGGAACTCCTTGTTCACGTTGTTGACAAAACCAAATGTACAAAGCCTCGTCTAAAGCTTCGTTGTTTGGTTTTCTTAATGTGCGTCTGTTACCTAAGCTGTCCACGCTCACCATTTTCGCACAAAAATTTTCAATTTCTATTCGTTTTTTTTTCCAATCCGAAACGGTTTGCTTACCCACTCCTAACTCTTGCGCGATTTTTGTTAATGATTCACCAGCATCAATACGAAATAAATCTTGGAGTTTTTGTTCCATTGTTACAGTCACTTTCTTACGTTTAACCGAAGTTGTCATTTTATGTTGTTTTTATAATAAGCAGAGGAAAAAATAAACGGAACGGTCTACACTGGTACACAATCACCACTAAACGAAATAATATCACAATACATATGTACCTAATCGAAACGATAAGTTTAAACCATATCTTAATTATGGGTATTCCCGAATATATATATTATACATGAGTACTAAATACGAAACATAAATTGTCCGGATTATCCGGATGTCCGGATTAGCGATGACCGGATTAGCGGGACTCTACTGTAATGTACATCCCTTATATTATAATGTGTTTCAAGAACATCACTCAATTGATTATATCTCGTTTTGTTCAATATATTGATTTATCGATAAAAGTTTCGAACGCGTTACAGATCATTTAATTTACAGATGAACTGTGGATAAAGAAAAACAACAGTTTTGTAAATAGAAATCTATTTTATTATAATGTATTTATTTTTTTTTTAATTTATGAAAATTATGGTTAAAATGTAATTCTTTTTTGAAAAATGTACAGAGTTTAAATGCTTCATTTTAAATGCTTTTCTTTAGGTTCAAAATCCGTAATCTACCGATAAAGTTACCGATTGAAAGTTACTTGCATCCAAACAAAATTGTTGATCAAAATTTCTTAAAATGCCTTTAATATTATTCAATAATAAGCAAATATTCAGATACAAGATACCTGATTTTATCAATTTGTGATGCAAGTAAAATGTACCATTATCATCATAACATATATCAACCACCATCCGAGATCAATTTCTTCTATGTCTTTGAGGACTGTAAGAAACCACAGCCCATTAGGAGATAATGTGTGTAATAACCCAAAAATGCAAAAAATAAAATAAGTTGGGTGATGGGATGATTGGGAAGTATGGGGGATGTGGTGTATATATGAATGGCGGTGAGGTATTGATGGGTTGTTACCTTCCTCCTTGTTTAAAGGAGGGCTCTTAGGGTTGAGAAGGTTCGAGAGCCGATCAGCGCAATTGTACAGTCTGCCAAGCTAAATAAAACAGCACTTACTTGTTTTGCCGTAGACCTTCTGATGTCGACGCGAGGTTGAAAAAGAAAGGACAAATCCAGAATTTAATAGCTATTTAATAATAATAATTTAATAGCTATTGAAGAGTATCCGGTTCTAATGCTAGCACTAGAACTGGATACTCTTCAATACTCATACGAAGAACACAAGTCGAACGGATTAATAATTTAATATTTTTTTTTATTTAAATTAAACTTAAATAATCAAAATAAATCGCATGTATAAGCTCGTCGTTGATCTTATGATCGATGCGCATGCACTGATGACATAAGATCAAGAACTCGCTGGGAAGAGTGGTGTGTGTCCCTGTTATATAGGCACATGCGGTGGCATGGACCTTGGGCCTGTTCTTCGAATGTAGGGATGTCAATAGTATTTATTGTTCGACTTGTGTCGTTCGTGCGGGTATCGAAGATACCGTTATTTATTTATTTGAAAAGGTTTAAAATAACGTACATATAAATTGTATACATAATAAAATATTTGTGCCGTCTTTTACAGTCGAATGATGCACATCATTACATCCACCTTACACTTTTTTTTTTTGTGTCCTCACAACAACGCTCGCTGGCCATTGCGAGAATAATATAAATATTTGTAAACATTTTAGAGTATAGATAAAACGTGAAAAGTGAAATTTAAAGTACAATAACGATTTCTCTGATGAGGTTTTTACTTTTTTGTTTTTTTACAATAATCAAGGGACAGTAACAATAGTTTAATGCAGAAATAAGAGTTACAATGAAATTATGGAGGGTGAAACTGAAAGTCTATACTACTGTTATTTGTATATTTCCTATCTGGTTGATTATAATGAGTGTTCACACATTGTTATCTTATTACTAATCATTGAACATTACCATGTCATAATAATGTTATGATTTACAATTTTTTGTTTTGTGTTGTTGTTTGTCTTCTTGTTGAACCATCTTCATGAATGTTTGTTGCATATTTTGTTGTGTTGTTGTATTAATAACATTAAAAAGCGGAAAGGAAAGAAAATAAACTATAATATATCATGTAATACTTAAGGAACATATATATATGTATATATAAATTAATGACATTTTTTTTTTTTTTGGTATTACATATAATAATGATTGGTTTTACTTAAATTTAGATTACAATTAATTTTTTATTTTTTTTTACAAAATTAAATTTTTTATATTACACTTATGATTAATTTTATCTTAGATTTAGATTAAGAACGTTTTTTTTTTTTTGAAATAATACTTGTATAATTTTCTTATGACATTTTTAAATCACATTAATTATAAACTTATGTTATATTGAAATTAAAAACATTTTTTTTTTTTGATGATCTTATATTATAACAATCAACTTAAATTATACTTAAACTATGAATAATTTTTTTTATAATAGTGGTAAACTATGATTATATTTAAGTCATAGACAATTTTTTTGTGAAATTAGTCGTAACACTTACAATAGTTAATTTAATTTATGAAGAATTTTTTGTTATTTTATAATACTAATTAACTTATGTAGTTTATACTTAAATTCTGAGCAATTATTAGAATTTTTGCACTAATTATTGATAATAGTGAAGAATTTTTATAATATAATATAGATAAACTAAAATTATACTTAACTTATGAACAATTTTTTATATTATAATAGTTATAAGCTAAAATTATATTTAAATTATAGATAATTTTTGTGAAATTTTTGTAACAGTATTAATAGTTAATTTAATTTATGAAGAATCTTTTCTCTTTTTTTTTTTTTTATTTATTTATTCGTTTGTTTTGTACTATATGTATGTTGGTTAGGTTTTAGTGTATTATTTATCGGGGAACTTGATTAAGTTATGACATTTTTGTCTGTATTATTTTCTCCAATTCTGGAGTAAAACGGTTTTAGACGCCTAACATGGATGATGTCCTTGACTTCTTTGTCGTTTAAAATTAGTTTTATTTTGAAATTTAGGTCGTTAATTTTTTCTATTATTTTATACTGTCGTCTATATTTGGGTCTTAATTTAGGAGATTTTCCTATGTCTAGGAATGGGAATCTTACCATTACTAGATCATTTACTTTGTAATTTATTGTTTTATGTGTCTTATCGTGATATTTTTTTTGTGTCACCTGAGCTTCATGTATTTTTTGTGGTATTTTGTCCCTTATTTTATTTAGTTCTTTTAGTGATTCTTTTAGATTGAATGGGATGTCTGCGGGAATTATCTTATTGTCCAAGGGAAACTGTGGTTCAAAGCCAAGCATGAGATAAAATGGGCTGTATTTAGTGACGGTTTGAGGTATCGAATTGTATGCAAGTGTAACATGCGGTAAGAAATATGACCATTTACTTTGATTATTTCCTAATAAATAGTTTTTCAATGAACCAGTTATAGTTCCGTTAATTTTTTCGACTAGACCCTGCGTTTGTGGCGAATAGCTTGTGGACAATGTTTGTTTTATTCCCAAACTTGTGCAGATGTCAGTGACTAATTTATTTCTAAAATGAGTACCACTGTCAGAAGAAAAGTTTCTGAAACATCCCCATTGTGTAATTATTTCTATTATGAATTTTACAGTTGTTTCTGCCGTGGCCGATTCAACTGCTTTTGTAAAAATGTATTTAGTGGTGTTACATGCTGCCACTAGAATGTATCTTTTTTTATTACTGGAAGGTAGGGGTCCTAGATAGTCAAATGTTATTCTATCTAGTGGTTTACCTGAGGTGATTGGTATAGGATGTAATAGGCCTACAGGTCTGCCGCTTATTTTTTTATTTATTTGACATTCCTCGCATGATTTTATGAAATCGGTTGTGTCTTTATTTAACGTTGGCCAATAGTATTTATTTTGAATTTTATGAATAGTACGTGATATTCTTGTTAAACCACCCGTGGATGAATCATGGTAAGACCTCAATATTTCCTTTATTAATGATTTTGGTATGACAAGGATTCGATTCTGACCTTTTGGGGGTGCATATTTTTTGTAATAGAGTATTTCGTTTATTATTTTAAATTGTCTGGATTTTCTTTTTATGTTTATGGATCCTTTTTTATTATTTAGGGCTTTTATTATATTACTGCAGAATTCATCATTGGTTTGTTGTGATTTAATGTCATGTAACTCTACGTGTAGGTTCTTGTTGTTATTTTCATTTTCGTTAATAATTTTTATATTGTTTATTGCATTCCTAGATAGTGCATCCGCAACTACATTTTCATTTCCTTTTTTATATATTATATCGAAATCAAAGTCTAACAGTTTTAAAGTGAGTCTTGCTATTCTAGCTGAAGGTATTTTTAGGTTGTTATAATATTGCATGCTTATATTGTCACAAAAGACTGTGAATTTGCGTCCCCATAGGTATTCTCGGAAATATGTGATTCCGAAGCATAGTCCGAGCAATTCGAGTGTCGTAGAAGAATATGTTTTCTCAGAATCTAACAATTTTCTAGAAGCAAATCCTATTGGGTGTAAAGTATTTTTTTCATCAGCTTGTTCAAGACAAACGCCTAATCCCATAATTGAAGCATCAACCGTTAAGAAGGTATATTTATCGTTATCAAAGTGTTTAAGTAGGGGTTCCGATGTTAAATGTTTTTTTAATGTGTTAAATGATATGTCATGTTTTTCGAGCCATTCTATTTTATGTAATCCCTTTTTAATTAGTTCTATGAGTGGATGTGCGATTTTCGCGAAATCTTTTACGTGTTTACTATAATATGAGCACATGCCAATGAAGGATCTAACGTCTTTAATAGTTTTTGGTATTTTGAATTCAGCTATGATTTTAGTATTTCTATCTAAGAGTCGTACACCTATAGTTGAGATTTCATGCCCTAGTAACTTGATTTTATCGTAAAAGAAGTTACATTTTTTTGTTTTAAGTGAGAAATTCATATTTTTTATAATTTTGAAAGCTTGACGTAAATTGTGTAGTGATTGATCAAAGGTTTTTCCATATGAGGCTAAATCATCGATATAT